GTTATGAATTCAATTTGCCCAGGGGGATTCAAGCAGCCTATGACTTGTCTGTATGGGAAGGCAGTCACTGAGCACTGCAGAAACAGCAAACAGGACTGGTGTTGAAGATACAAACCAAGATGTGGAGGTTATCTCTGAATGAGAGGGGTGCACTGCTAATGGAGGACACTGAGAAGAAAGAGTTACAGAATGCCTTCCTTTCTTCTGTCTTTACTTCTAAGACTGCTCCTCAGGAATAGAATAACAGAATTATAGAATTGCTCAGGTTGGAAAAGACCCTAAAGATCGAATCCAATCATGACCTAACCATACTACCCTAACTAAATCATGTCCCTGAACACCACATCCAAATGGTTTTTAAACCATCCAGGGATGGTGACTCAACCACCCTCTTGGGGAGCCTATTACAGTGCTTAACAACCCTTTCTGTAAAGAAGAGTTTTCTGATAGCCAACCTAAGCATCACCTGGTGAAAGTTGAGGCCATTTCCCCTCGTTCTGTCACCTGTCACAAGTGAGAGGAGATCAGCCCTGCTCTCACTGCAATCACCATTCAGGTATTTGAAGAGAGCAATAAGGTCTCCCTTCAGCCTCTTCTTCCCCAGACTGAACAGCCCCAGTTCCTTCAGTCTCTCCTTGTAGGGCATGTTCTCCAAGCCCTTCACAAGCCTTGTTGCCCTTCTTTGGACCTGCTCCAGCACCTCCATGTCCTTTCTGTACTGAGGTGCCCCAAACTGGACACAGTACTCGAGGTGAGGCCTCACCAATGCCGAGTACAGGAGCAGGATGACTTCCCTAGTCCTGCTCACCACACCACTCCTGATACAAGCCAGGATGCCATTGGCCTTCTTGGCCACGTGGGCACACTGCTGGCTCATATTCAGCCGACTGTCCATCAGTACACCAAGGTCCTTTTCCATCAGGCAGCTTTCCAGCCACTCCTCCCCAAGCCTGTAGGGTTGCCAGGGATTGTTGTGACCAAATTGCAGGACCCAATACTTGGCCCTATTGAAACTCATACAGTTTACTTTGGCCCATCGATCCAGTCTATCCAGGTCCCTCTGTAGTGCCTTTCTACCCTCCAGCAGATCAACATCAACATTCCCTCCCAGCTTTGTGTCATCTGCAGACTTACTGAAGGCGCACTCAATCCTGTAATCAATATCGTTAATAAAGATGTTAAATAGAAGTGGCCCCAGTACCATGCCCTGGGGGATACCACACGTAACTGGCTGTCAGCTGGATTTAACTCCATTGACCACAGCTCTTTGGGCCTGGCCATCCAGCCAGTGTTTCACCCAGCAGAGGGTACACCCATCCAAAATATGGGCAACCAGCTTCTCCATGAGGATGCTGTGGGGGACAGTGTCAAAGGCTTTACTGAAGTCCAGACCACACTGACAACCTTACCTTAATCCACTCAGCGGGTCAACTTGTCATAGAACGAAGTCAGATCTGTCAAATAGGATCTACCATTCATGAACTCATGCTGACTGGGCCTGATCCCCTGGTTGACCTTTAACTGGTCCATGATGGCTCCCGAGATTATCTGTTCCATAACCTTCCAAGCACCAAGGTGAGACTGATAGGTCTGTAGCTACCAGGATCATTTTTCTAGCACTTTTTGAAGATGGGCATCACATCTGCAGACCACCAGTACCTTCCCAGTTAGCTAGGACTGCAGAAGGATGATGGAGAGTGGCTTGGCACCCACATCTGCCAAATCCCTCAACACTCTAAGGTACAGTCTATCTGGACCCATGGACTTGAGAGTGTCCAGCTTTCAGAGCAGGTCCAAAACATCTCTTCATGGATTATACAGGGCCTATTCTGTTCCCCATCCCTATCTTCCAGCGCAAGGGGCTGTGTGCCTGAGGAGTAACTAGTCTTTTTATTAAAGACTGAATATAAGACCCTGTAGAAGAGAAAGGGAGAGAGAGAGTCTGGAGAAGGGAAGATTTTATCATGGTTGAGAATCTGGTTAAAGATTGTCTAGAGAAACTCGAAGCACACAAATCCAGGGGCCCTGATAGGATACACCCATGAAAGCTGAGGGAGCTAGAACTGCTTGCTAAGCTACTCTCTATTATCTTTATAGGTAATGGAGAACGAAAGAGATGTCTGAAGACTAGAGCAAAACCAGTGTCACTTCAGTCTTCAAAAAGGGCATGAAGGAGGATGTAGGAAACTACAGGATAGTCAGCCTCATCTCCACCCCTGTAAAGGTGATGAAACAACTTTTTCTAGATGTCATCTCTAAGTAAGTAGAAGAAAAGAAGGTTATCAGGAGTAGTCAAAATGGATTCGCCAAGGGCAAATCATGCTTAACCAACCTGGTAGCCTTTTATGATGTTATAACCGGGTGAGCCACAAGCAGGGCTTTTGAATCTGGCTCTCATAACATCCTTGTGGATTAGCTCAGGAAGTGTGAGATAGATGAGTGGACAGTGAGGTGGATTGGGAACTGGCTGAGTGACAGAGCTCAGAGTATTGTGATCAGGGTCACAGACTCTAGGCCTGTAACTAACTGTGTTCTCCAAGTGTCAGTACTGGGTCTAGTCTTGTTTAATAGCTTAATCACCTGGATGAAGGGAAAGAGTGCACCCTCAGCAAGTTTTCTGGTTATACAAAGCTGTGAGGTGTGGCTGACACACCAGAGATCTATGCTGCCATTCAGTAAGACCTAGACAGACTGGAGAGATGGACAGAGAATAATCTGATGAGGTTCAACAAAGGCATGTGCAGAATCCTACACCTGGGGAGGATTGACAACATGTATCAGTACAGGTTAAGGGATAAACTGCTGGAAAGGAGCTCTGCAGAGAAAGACCTGGATGTCCTACAGAATAACAGGTTGGCCATGAGTCAGCAGTGTGCCCTTGTGGCCAAGAAGGCCAATGGTATCCTGGGTTGCATTAAAAAGAGTGTAGCCATCAGGTCAAGGGGAGGATCGCTCCCCCTCTATTCCCCTAGTGAAGCTACTTTGAGAGGACAGTGTCCAATTCGGTGCTACTCAGCTCAAGAAAGACAGGAAACTTATAGGGAGAGTCCAGCAGAGATTCACAAAGATTATTAGAAGCCTCAAACATCTCTCTTATAAGGAAAGGCTGGGAGATCTGAGACTCTTCAACTTGGACTAGAGAAAAAGGAGGGAGAATCTTCTCAACAGTTATAAATATCTGAAGGGCAGGAGTCAAGTCTATGGGACCAAGCTCTTTTCAGCTGTGCCCAGTGACAAGATGAGGAGGAGTGGGAACAAATTAGAACACAGGAAGATGCAGAAGAAATTCTTTACTATCAGTGATGGAGCACTGGAACAAGCTGGCAAGACAGGCTGTGAATTCTACTTGTCTAGAAATATTCAAAATATGCCTGGATTCTTTCTTGTGAAACCTACTGTAGGGAACCTGGTTTAGCAGGAAGTTTTGATCTCCTGAGGTCCTTTCCAGTCCTTACGATTTTGTGATTCTGTTACTTCTGCCTAGCTCCTCCATTCTCTGAGATGATGAAGTGGAGAGGCAGGTGTCACATTTCCTATCACTCTGCCACCAGTTTCCTGATACCCATGGACTCAAGTTAGCTTCTCTCTGCTTTGAATTGCTTCCTCACCTTGACCTATGTAGAAAATTAAGTTAAACCTAACACCTTAATGGCCTGATGGCTCTGTACCTAATGAACCATTCCAAAAGTCCAGAAGTGTTTCTATCTAAAGCTTGGAATTCAAGCATCCGTTTCCAAAGTAATTTTCTGCCCACGGGATGGAGCCCTAATTGCTGTGCTTCATGACTTGCTACCAGAGTGAAAAAATGTTAAAAACAATTTCATTAAATGCAGTGCAGCTCTGGATTATAAAGACAATTAAGTTTGCAAATGTAACGATCTGTATGATGCTGAGTGAATAAAAGATATGAGGAATTCCTAGTAAATATACTATACTAATATAATCCTTTAGGACTAAAACAATTTCCAACATAAAGTCACATGTTTCAGCTGCTAGGTTTGCCTTATACTCTTGGTAAGATCAAGGTTAAAGAAGTCACTGGAGACTTATCAGATAACCTGAAAGTGCAATAAACCATCAGGCGGGAGGAAGAGGTTACAGCAAGTCCACTCTGGCAACTCACTGTGTTCAAAGTCCCTTTGGACTCCATGGGATATGGCTGGCAGCACAGTTCTCAGTGAAGGATCCACCAGGGAACTTCATTTTAGGCTCAATGAAATAAAGCCCCAGTGCTTCATAGCTCATTTCCTTGACCTGCTAGCCTGAACTCAGGGTACAACTCTGATGTCTGATCTCTCAGTTGCTCTTCTCACAATTATTCTTCTGGAGAATGGGGAAAAATAACCCTTTGCAGCACTCAATGTTTTGTATTATTTCAATGGATGTTGTTGTTTTTTTTTCCCAACACATGTCTTCAGAAGGGTTGAACAGAGCAGGGCAGAGGTGTAACTTGCATTATCTCCTTTTTCTTGTTTTGAAGTCGTCTCACTTGGGCAAGACAACAAAAAGGGAAAGAATTCAAGCTTCCAAATCCACACTGACTGCCATAATCTACACATAGAATTTAATGAAATACTCTGAAATATATGTGTGTAAAGTGATAGATTTCCAATTTCTGCTGCTGTAGAAATCAGAAACTTAACCTGTCTGGTACTGGTTTGTATTTGCACCCTGTAAGAGATCCTTGGTGATTTCCACATGGTAATTACAGCTTTGTGAAGCTCACTGACCCTAGGATGAAATCAAAATAGCTTCAGATGGCAGGAACAGAGCTGGGAACGTAAGCATCAACAGCTCAGAAGTGGAGCCCCAGCCTGGAAAGCTCTGTGAAGAACTCAGTATTGTCCACAGCAGATATGAGGGCAGTCACCAGCAACAGCACAGGCATGGTCAAGTGGAGAGGATGCTATCAATGAGTTCTTCTCTCACTCTGTTCTCATCAAGGTTTGCCCTAGCCCAAGTGTGGCATCTTTCACTTGGCCTTGTTGAACCTCATTAGGTTATCGTTGGTCCATGTTCAAGTTGTCCCAGGACCCCTGGATGGCATCCATTCCTTCCATCACATCAACTGCACCACTCTGCTTTCTGTCACCATCAAACTTGAGGAAAGAGCATGTGATCACAGATCACATGTACGGATTGGAAATTCTAGGATCTCTGGATATCACTGAGTTCAACCATCATTCTGAAGCAGGCTTCCTGCAGTAGGTTGCACAGGTAGATGTCCAGCTTGGAATGTATGCAGAAAAGTAGACTCCCAACCTCTCTATTGTTGCAGTACCCTGTCACTCTGAAGTAAAGAAGTTCTGCCTTGTGTTAGTTGCAGAACTTTCTGTGTTTCAGTTTGTGCCCATTGTCCCTTGTACTACTGATGCATGCCTCTAAAAGAGTCCATCCCGATTGACTTGACTCCTGCACTGTCGACACTTATGAACAGTTATGAAATCTCACCGTCCAGGTTGTTACTAAAGATGTTGAAGAGCACTAGTCCCAAGACAGACCCTTAGGGGACACCAGCATCCACCTGGACACAAAGCTATTGACAATCTTCTTGCTCTGTGACCATCCAGCGAATGCTTTATCCACAGAATAGTCCACCCTTCAATTGTATGTTTCTCCAGTTTAGACGTACTGATGTGGTGTTAGACCATGTAAAAAGTCTTGCATAAATTCAGGTAGATGATATCAGTTGCCCTTCCTTTGTCCACCAATGCTGTCACTCGATTATAGAAGGCCATCAGACTGGTCAGTCACAGTCTGCCCTTGATGAAGCCGTGCTGGCTATCTTGGACCACCTCCTCATCTTGCATGAGTCTTTACATTTACATGTGTCTCCCAGGAGGACCTGTTCCATGATCTTCTCAGACATTAACAGATTGATGCAAGTCTATATATAAATATGTCAAGATCATACAATATATTTTTGTGAATGGAAGAAAGTGCATATTGATTCTCAGCGTAAGTATTTTGTTGAAAATCTCTGTGTTGAAATGATGTAGCATATTCATCAGTAGCTACAGGGTGAAGATAGCTCGATGTTTCTTTGCTGTTATGTTAAGCATATGCCATTTGAAAAGGAGTGTAGATGTGTTATTCCACCAGCCATATGAAGTGAAAAAGCTAGAAAAACTCAGTCTCATTTTTAGAATTTCATTTTTGGAAGAGTTTTCCATTGCTGAAAGAGAAATGACAGTGGGAGGTTTGTGAGTGTTTGGGGTGATAAGCAGCTTGAGTGGCACTTGGAGGAGATGCAGTGAGTAAAATCCTTTTCCCTTTGAAGTCAATAGGAAACTTGGCTCTGAATGTGAGGGAGCCAGAATTAACCATCAGCTTTGGCTTTCCTTGAATATAGCAAGAGCTTTGCAAGTCACACTGTTGGCTAAACAGCCATGGGGTTGTGGAAGTAAAAGGAAAAGCATGAACTACTTTTTCCATCGCAAATGAGAACCAAGAATATGCATTGATCTACTGCATTTCTCCTCTTTCCTGAAAACAATCTTGGGATCCTAGATTGAAATTTTTCTTGACTTGCTTGGACACAGATAACCTCAATCTTCTCAACCAGAGGCATCCCAAAGGGCAAATGCAGTGCTTTGAAACTATCTTCATAGAAAGCAAAGCAATTTTGAGCAATATGTGTCATGCACACATGCTTTCATACATGCACACAGGAGTCCATTTGGGACATGATGTGTCATCACTCTGACTTGTTCCTCTGCTGCTTTTCACTATAAAATCTTCTGGAAGTTTCCTTTGTTAGGAGAAGCTCTCTGAGCACTTTCAGGAAGTTAGAAAAGTTCAACTGAGACCGGGCTGAAGTGCTACCTCCTTTCTGCTGCACAGAGATGGGTAGTAGGACAATAAAGAGGAATAATTAAGAATAATGTGAGAGCAAAGGATTTCAGCAGCTGAGTGTCTGCCAGCAGTGGATAAATGGTTTGCTGACCAAGAAACAATACCTTTGGAAAAAAATATCTTCACAAAAGTACATTGGAATAATCTGAACATCCTTTTACTGTGCATCCAGTACTTGTAAAAAAGGAAGTCTTGCTAGATATAGAAGGAAGTTCTGGCACTTCATGTACACATAATTCATAAAGAAAGCATTTAAATGTAGAAGTTTGAAAAGGCAATGAATCTTTGCGAAAAGTGCCTCTGTCTCTGGGAGATAAGAGGAAATGAGAAAGGAGAAAGAACAGTAGTTTCTTTTAAATTCTCCTTTCAATCCACCTGCAGCACAGCACCCACAAAACACTGTGCCAGACTAGGCAGGCGCATGGTAGCCTACCCAGACCAGAAGTGCCTCGCTGCTCCCTTGCCTTTCCTTTCCTTGCAACTCACCCGTTGCCAGACACTGATTTTTTTCCTACTGTATTAAATTCTTTAGCTCAGTGTTTCTCACACTAACATAGTAATGAGGACCTCTCCTCACTAATATAATGCAAATTCATAGCCTGAATGAGTAATTCACAGAGTAATTCAGGTGGTCAAAACATATATGCAATGCTGCGTCCGTGTTTTCTTTGGCATCTCTGCTGCTTTCCTCCATGGCTGCTCTTGCAGTTGGCACTTCCTCATATCCAAAAGGAGGAATTGCTGCGAATGTTGTGTGTTCTTTGATACTACTTTTCTGCCCAAAGAAAGGTGCCCGGAGACCATGTCTGTTTCCTGAATTCTGAAGGCAAAATATCTCAGGAAGATAAATGGTGGGCTTGCAAGCTGGGGTCTCTAAAATGTTTATTAGAGGGAATATATATCACTGCTGATGCTTTGTCTGGCAAAGCTTGAGAAGTTTGAGGTGCTTATCTCAAAAGTTACGTGGAGTGCCTAGAGATTGAGTTATTTCTTTATTGACTGTAAAAATCAAAGTATATTAATGAGAAGAAACAATTGTGAGACTGGTAAATCAGTGCCAGTACTGGCAGTGGGTTTTAAATGTTTAGATACCTCTAGACGTGTTAATACGTAATACGTAATAGATACCTCTAGACTCTCAATACAAAAAATTTCCAATGAATTTTTTAACTCTGTTGTGATGAACTTTAACACTACATAATCCTACGTTTGGTATGCTGTGGTGATTAGCAACTTGCACGCATTTTACAATGGATAAAATGCATGAAAGTTTATATATATATATATTTTAAGTGAAACACATGCTGAACATTGCAAAGTCCTGTTTATAGAAGAGCAGCTATCTGTTTGCGCCTGCTTTCATTCAAGGTAGGAAAAACTCAGAAGAGAGGATGACCATTGCCTTGTGCTGCTGGCACTGGGTCTGTTCAAACACCAAGTGAAAACTAACTTCTCAAGACCAATCTTCACTTTTACAGTCAACCTTTTGGTAGCAAATTTTTTTTTTTTTTTTTTCTATTTTTCTTCAAAACTCCATCAACACTTGGGTGAACAGAAGGCACTGCTCTGCAAGTTAATAACCCTCCAAACAGTTTATGATGCTCTTATGCTCTACATCCAGATTGTGGCTAATTATTCTCCTCCATCACACAAAGTGTTGTAATCCTGCACTTCCAGCCATCACCTTCAGAAGAAAAAACAGTGCAATACTTTTTCCCCAGGAAAGCTGCTACAGATGTACATTGGGTAGCTTCCTTATCACTCTGGTTAAATTAAAGCAATATTTTAAATATCCTGAGCACAGATTTTGTTTGTCTCTCTGATAGCAATGTCTGGTGGAAGAGCAATACATGTTCTTATTTCCCTGGCAGTAGAGCCAGCAGCAACCCATGCATCCCTATGGCTGTCTCTGTGTTGTGAGGACAAGCTCCTGACCCAACAACCACCAACACCAGGCAGGACACCAGACCAGATAATGTCAGAGAAATGGAAATCAATAAAATGATGCAGACATCTCTGTTCAGGTGCCAGGGGTACATGTGTGTTGGTGCATTATGGAGGCTTTGCCTCAACTTACAACCATGGGACTACGATGCCTACTGTTGCTGGGCTGGCTTAAGAGGGATTCTCATGGAAAATAGAGCAATGGCACAGCAAAAAATATTTACAGTCATGATTCACAGTTACTGTAGTTGCCACAATTTGCCAAACTTAATTTGCCATTTGAAAATTATTTCCTCTTTGAAATAAAGAGACTTGCATATATGATGGTTACTGTGTTGGCAAACACCATGTTTCTAAATAACAACTGTAAAACTACTGAGGCTTGGCAAGTGCAAGTGTAACAGATAGCACTGTTTTCCTGGGGAAAAAATATGGTTTAGTTAAGGTGAAATTTGCTTTGAAAGCTGAGCAAGTGAAAGTTGGTATTTATTGAAAGACTCTGAGCCACTTCTTAGGTGCAAAGCTAACACCTGTGGGTTACAAAAAAAAAGTAAACACCCCTTTGAGTCAACATTTATCCCTTATCCCTACTTTACACTTACTAGAAAGCCATAAAACCCTCTGAAATACCAGCTTTCATTCCACTGCTGAAAACACAGTGGTGTTTCTTACAGCCCAAAAATATTGGTCAGGAGACAGCAAGAATGGAGCAAAGGTACAGGCTGTTCCCCACTTTACATAGGGATTAGGCTCCGAAATTGGAGGGATGATAGAATCACAGAATTATAGAATTACCGAGATTGGGAAAGACCTTAAAGATCATTTGGTCCAACCATCCACCTATCACCAGTATTTCTCACTAAACCAGGTCCCTCAGTACAACATGTAAACATTACTTGAACACCTCCAGGGTCGATGACTTCACCACCTCCCTGTGCAGCCTGTAGCAGTGCCTGACCACTCTCTTGGAGAGGAAATATTTCCTAACGTCCAACCTGAATGTCCTGTGGTGCAACTTGAGGCCATTCCCTCCAGCCTTATTGCTAGTTATTCAGGAGAAGAGGGTGACCCCCACCTCCCTTCAGGCAGTTATAGAGCATGATAACATCACCCCTGAACCTCCTCTTGTCCAGACTAAACAATCCCAGCTCCTCATAAGACTTATGCTCCAGACCCGGCACCCGCTTTGTTGCCCTTCTCTGAACACTCTCCAGGGCCTCAATGTCATTCCTGTAGCGAGGGGCTCAAAACTAGGTGATGCAGGCACATGGAAGACTCCAGAGCCAGGTTAATGGCATCA